TTTGGTGAAATGACTATTCAAGTTTTTTGACCATTTTTCGATTAGGTTACTTGCCTTTTTATTGTTAAGTTGTAGGAGATCTTTATATATTCTAGATATTAAACTCTTACCAGATACATAGTTCCCCAATATTTTCTCCCAATCTGTAGATTGTTTCACTTTGTTGATAAAGTCTTTTGAGGAACAAAAGTTTTTAATTTTGACAGGGTCTCATTTATCTATTTTGTCTTTTGCTGCTTGGGCTTTTCGTATCATATCTAAGAATCCATTGTTAAAAACTAGATCCCACAGCAATAACCCTATGTTTTCTTCTAAGAGTTTCATGGTTTCAGTTCTCACATTTAGGTCCTTGATCCACATGATCTATAAGGGTTTCCAACAGCTAATTTTTGGAAGTAGATCACCAGGCCTTCTTCCTAATCTGTTTGTCTGGAAGCTCTGCTGAAACTTCACCACCACAGATGACCACTGGTATTTGAAATACCAGTGGCAGAGCTTCCAGTATTATAGCAACGTTTGCAAACATGGCAGTATGACAAACTGATGGTGGTCCCTGAAAAATGGTCTACCCTCATCTTTAGCAAAAGGAATAAATGACCTAAATGTTCATTCTAATGAACGTAATTCTGTTTTCATAAGATGAATGCATAGTTTTATGTGTACTTTAGGCAGGGCCACAATTTTTTAAATTTGAACCTGAAACCACTAATTTAAATATAACTCAACTACAGAGATCATTTTCTTGCTTCTGTTATTTTTTTCTGTATGGAAAACCTTCAATTTATAGATGTGGGGAATATACAGCAACTAAAGAAAGACACTCTGGGAGAGCTTTGACTCCAAAATAATAATAATTATAATAGCATGGGTAATCCACTTTATTCTAAAAGTCTCCTGGCAAAAATTGGTTAATTTTACTAATGCTGACAGGAGCAACAGGAATTAATACTAGAAATAGACAGCTTTTACTATGTACATTCAAGCTAAACAAAGAGTAAAAAATAGCAACAACAAAAAATTGTCCATTTGACAAGTAACTTAATCTTTTAAGAAAGCTTCAAACATAACTTCACCATCACCCTTCACCTGACAATTTGGTGAAGAGTATTTTTAGAATTCTGGATTAAGTCCTATTTTTTAAAGGATGTAGGTTCAGTAACTTTTGTCCCCCAAAAACTTTACAGATAACTCACGAATGTTGTATATCCATCCATACTTCATAGAATATAAAAATTGCCACATATCATAAAGTAGCTTAAATGTAGGTATGAAGAAATAATATCAAACAAGCGTCAAACAGGTCTTTAATGCTTTTAGTCTGTTACTTTTTAAAATCACTGGTATTTTATGTGATAAGAAAATATCACAGAAATATATAGTTTTGAATCAATGAGGTAAAGGAATGGTGAGAATAAAAATAAATCCGAGAGTAACCAAAACTGCATTCAAACGACCTTGGCAACTATCAATCAGGCCCACAATATGAGTGGAATGATAATATAGGATTATTTCTAACTACACTTTACAGTAAGAGACAGTACAGAGATATATAAAGATCTAAACAGATAGTATAGGATAGAGATATAAAAAAAGTATTTTTTTATAGTTAAGTTTCTATTTATCTTACACTTTCAAATAGAAAAATATCCTACTTTATCCACATCCGCTATTAAATACACCACTTCAATTTACTTCACAAGGCAAAAAATGGTCTCTAAAACGAAAACATTAAAAAAAATTATATAGCAAAGCTTCTGGTTTTAACTCCATTTAAGAGCTTTTGTGCATGTAAAACAGAATTCATGCTTAAGCAAGTATATGCCTAAAATTTAGGAAATAATTACAAAGGAACTAATTAAGTAAAAGAAGTAATAATCAATAGACCCAAATGGATGATTTCAATGTACATTATTTCCAAGACTTCAACACTTTCTTAAATTGCTTTTAACACATTCTTCAACACAGAGAGCACAAGTTTTCTTTTTTTCAAACAATATTATTTCTCAGGTTTAACTCTTAATCCATAAACAAAAGGCAAAAGATGTCCATAGTAATAGACAAATGACAGACATGAATGAGCAAACTCATAAAACATTTGCAAATACATTTTTAAAAGTTCAACAATGTGCAAACTAAACTAACATAATACTTCTACCCCTAATGAGAGTTTACAATATGGAAAAAGAAGCTTTATGCTGTATGAATGTAACAAAATTTTTTAGTGGGGGCGATTTTGCACCAACCATCAAAAGCATCAAAAATGTTAACATTTTGACTTAGCACTTCTACCTCTAGAAATGTTTCTCAAGAAAATAAGACAAATGTGCCAAACTTATAGAGATATCCACGTGAAACCTTTACAATTATAAAGACTAGAAACAACCCAAAATAACAAACTATCAAACGGATTATAAATATAAAAACAACTGTATTTCACATGAGCTAACAATATACTTAAGGATGAAACAGTGAATCCTTCCCGAGGCTGAGAACAAGACATGGCTTTATACTCTTACCACTTCTATACAACCTTGTATTGAAAAAACAAAGAAACAGGGATCTAAGGCCAAAACTATTTTCATACTATTAAGATTTATTTGCCTTTTTCACCATGTTGACATTTGTATGAATGGTGCAAAAGCAATGATGGGTAAAACTGCTGGTATCTTAGCATGAATCAAGGCAATGGAACAAAACTGTACAATACATTTTTTCATCATCATGTACTTGCAGAAAACAACAACAAAAAAATGCCATCTTCATTTACAGATCTCCTCAATAAAACAGTAGAAATTATTCATTTTACTAAATTTCAGCCTTCCACTACATGTCCTAATGTTCTGTGTGACAAAATGGGAAGTATGCATACAGTACTTCTGCTTCATACCGATGGTTGACTATGGTTATCGGCAGAGATTTTCTTGAAAATAAATGAGCCAGTCATGTCAAGGGCCCTGGTGGCGCAGTGATTTAAGAGCTTACACTACTAACTAAAAGTTCGGCAGTTCAAATCCACCAACCGCTCCTTGGAAACTCTATGGGACATTTCTACTCTGTCCTACAGGGTTGCTATGAATCGGAATGGACTCAGTGGCAATAGGTAGTCATTTCAAGGAAATCTGACAGTATTTATTGACAATGAGAAAATTTGAGCTTTCAAGTGAAAATTAAAATTTTGGAGAACTTGTTTCTGCTACTACGAGCTTATGAGCTTCCTGAAATGTCAACATTCAGAAGTAACTCAGTGAACCAATGTTTTCCAAATAACCAGTGCACAGTGCTACCAAGTTGATAATCCACTGGTAAAAGATTCATTCAAATGTCAACGGCTTTAATGTAACAGAGTACAAAACGTTCATTATATGGTTTCAGATTCCACACTGAAGAACCTCTAAGAAACTACCATTTGTAGTTTTGTTGCCATGTCAAAAGAATACTATCCATAATCATCTTTAAAAGTCTATTACAATAGTCCTCCCTTCTCTAGCCACGTATCTGTGAAACCAGATTTTATTCATATACTTAAAACAAAACAACATATTTCAACAGATTCCAAGTAGAAACAGATGTGAGAAGCTACATATACCTTGCTGTCTTCTACTAAGCCAGACTTAAAAGAGTTGTAAAAATACAAAACAATGTCACTCTTCTTCATAAAATTTTTTGAAGTTATTTTTCACTAAAAAAATTACGTAACAGGTGTTATTGTTAAATGAACAAATATATTAAAAATTTCTTAGTTTTAATTTCTAATATGGTAATTATCAATAGAAACAAAAAATATTTTGGGGTCCTCAGTCATTTTTAAGAGTGAAAGTGAGGCCAAAAAGTTAGAGAACCACTGCCCTATGGAAATAATAAGCAAGTAAACAAAGATACTTAGTGTAGCATTTTAACAGCAAAATAAATAAATAAATAAAGGACACCATGTGTTATAGATGCAACTGTGTCCCCCAAAAATGTGTTATAAATCCTAACCCCTAACTGTAGGGTAGCTATGAGTTGGAATCGACTCCACAGCAATGGGCAATTGAAGGTTATACCTGTGGTTATCCCATTTGGGAATGGGCTGTCTTTGTTATGTTAATGATATGGGATTAGTGCGAGGTGTTTCTTAAATCAATCTCTTTTGAGATATAAACAAGATTAAACAAGCGAGCAAGCACAGATAGGGGAAGAGAGACAACAAGCCACCTGAAGATTGCCCAGGAGTAGAAGCTCAAAAGAGATAAGGATCTTTCTCCAGAGCAGACAGAGAGAAAGTCTTCCCCTAGAGCTGGCACCTGGAATTCAGACTTCTAGCCTCCTAACTGAGAAAATAAATTCCATTAAAGCAATAACAGTGATTAGGTTCTTAGGTTCTGGGTTACTTTTCAGTCCTCTAAAATTCTACGTTGGTCAAATAGCTAAAAGCACTAAAATCATAAAAAAACAAAAAGCCTTGAAGTCATGAAAAATCCACAAAAGAAATGCTAGTATTTTTCAAAAACTTCTATTATATTTAATTTTATCACAAGACTGTCAACGTAAGCTTTTAAAATACAGGTCTTTGATTTCAAGGCAAGAACGTTTTCCCACTTTTAAAATGGAAAGTGATTAGTAAAATGCTGATTTAAAATAAAAACTAAAGAGACAAGCAGCCCAAAAGCAAACTGAAATTTAAAGTTATGTAATTATAAATTAAATACATTATATAATATTACTTTGTTCTTTTAGTTCATTATCTATTTCTTTATTCTACAAATTTATATTAAAATAAAGAGATACTAATAAACAAGGAGTCGGATGGTCTTATTAGTATGGGTGTTTAGAACACTTTAACTGTCTAAGTAGACCGCAGTTTTATTTAAGCACTGTAGTCTATCTTAATATGAAAGTCAGAAGAAATAAAATATTTAACAATAAAATGTAAATAAAATAGGTAAGATTACTAAAAAGAAACAGCTAAGTATTTTTTACTTGGTGTAGAATTAAAATATTTAATATCACTAGACACTTACCGGGACTATGATGAGTTGCAAATCCTCCATTCTGAAACATGTCTCCTGCCACATTCATTCTACCAGGATTAAAAGGTCCCACTCCAGTCTTGTTCTGTGAAGTTAAAGATGAGGTGTATGTTTGTATGTTAACACCAACATTACTTGACTGAAGTCCTTTAGTTACATCTCTCAAGTTGGTATTCTATAGTGATGTTACATGTGTAATCATTAAGTTCTTATCTCTCCCGGTATTCAAAGACCTTACACCTGTTTCTAAGGTTGTAACACTGGTAATAAGAATTTCAGAGTTGGTTCTGTAGTAATAACAGTATTACCCATTCCTGCATTTACCTTACTTCTTGAAACACTAGAAGTGTAGAAATCTGAATCTTTGGTTCTGTTTTTAATTCCGGGAAGTCCCCATTCAATAAAACTGGAAGAATTTTTCTTTTGCCCATGATTTGTTTCTACATCCTCTTCATCATCAATGACAATTGTCTCACTTAAATTTCTCTTCTGAGAAGTCAAATCTCTTGAAGAAGGAAGAATTACAAAACTGTTTCCCTGTAGCTTTTCCCTTCTTGATGATGTAAATACGTTTCTTTGATTAGCTATTGCTGGTGCAGAAACTGAGGGAGGTTGTATAGATTCAATAAATACAACATCATCATCATCATCTTCCAAAGGGTTTCTAGATCTATTAACTAAAGGACTAGTTTGATCACCAAATGAATTTTCTACATCCATGAGACTAGCTGCCATGGCTATATTCCCTAATAAGACAGGAGTCTACTCAGTCAATTTTATTCCTCCCATTGAACACTTATCCATGCCAAAGAACCTATAAGAGACAAAGAAAAAAAACAAGTTCTAGTATGTTATGATTACTGTATTTTACCATAATAAAATAACAAAAATAAAATTTTTACATTCTTTTATGTGATTTCTTATCTCTTAGGAGAAAAACTGACGCCCATTCTGGTTTTCTCCCCCATTAACTATTTAATACTTCTTTTTCAGAGTTTGATGGAAATTAATTACCTAATTTTTGGTACTCCTTTAAAAAAAATCTCAAATCCATAGTACTTAATTTAACCTACTCATTCTTCACAGTGAAAATACACCTGTCTTCTTTCAAATTAGAAAATAACAAAATAATTCTATCAAGTACCAGTAACCTAGGACTCAAATACAATTTTTTCTCTATATGCCTTTTTTACAGTCTTAATAATTTTTTTCGTTGCTGCTGTTGTTGAAACTATACACAGTAGTACATCAATTCAACAATTTCTACATGTATAATTCAGTGACAGTGATTTCATTCTTCAAAGTTGTACAATAATTCTTATGCTCCTTTTCCAATTTATTCCTCTCCCATTAACATAAAATCACTGCCCCCTAACCTTCCTATATAACATTTCAAGTTGCTGTTGTCACTTTGATCCCATACAGATCTTCAAAAGAGCACAATGCTCAGGGCAGACATTCTTTACTAACTGAACTAAATTACTGTTTGGCTTAATGAAGACTTCAGGGGATATTTTTGGTTTAAGGTTTAAAGATAAATTCACAGCAATAGTTTTGGCAATTCATGCAGTCTCCATGACTCTAGGAATTCTGGATTCCATGAGAATGTGAAATTCTCTTCTGCATTTTCTCCCTTTGGATCAGGATTCTTCTACAGAATCTTTGATCAAAATGTTCAGTAATTCCCAAAGTCCATTAAATGGGGGAAAAGACAGTCTCTTTAAAAAATGGTGCTGGCAAAACAGGATATCCATCTGTAAAAAAATGAAACAAGACCCATACCCCACACCATACACAAAAGCTAATTCAAAAAGAATCAAACATCTAAGTATAAAACGTAAAGTTATAAAGATCATGAAAGAAAAAATATAGACAATGCCAGGGCCCTAACACACGGCGTAAAAAAGGATACAAACCATAACTAATGATGCACTAACAGCAGAAGATAGACTAGATAACTGGGAGATCCTAAAAATCAAACACTTATGCTCATCAAAAGACTTAACCAAAAGACTAAAAAGAACCTACAGGCTATAAAAAACTTTTGGCTACAACACATCCGACAAGGTTCTAATCTATAAACTGTATAAGATACTGCAGTAACTCAACAACAAAAAGATATAAACCAATTAAAAAATGGGCAAATGATATGAACAGACACTTCACCAAAGAAGGCAGTCAGGTGGCTAACAGACACATGAGGAAATGCTCACCATCATTAGCCATTAGATACATGCAAATCAAAATTACACTGACATACCATCTCACCCCGACATGACTGGCATGAATAAAAAAAAAAACCCAGAAAATAACAAGTGTTGGAGAGGTTGTGGGGAGACTGCAACTCTTATGCACTGCTGGTGGGAATGTAAAATGGTACAATCACTTTGGAAAACGGTATGACCCTCCCTTAAAAAGCTAGATATAGAAATACCGTATGATCCAGCAATCTCACTCCTAGGAATATATCCTAGAGAAATAAGAGCTGTCATACAAATAAATATATGCACACCCATGTTCACTGCAGTACTATTCACAATAGCAAAAAGATGTAAACAACCTAAGTGTCCATCAACAGATGAATGTATAAACAAACTATGGCACACACACACAATGGAATGTCACATAATGATAAAGAACAATCATGAATCCGTGAAATATCTCACAAATGGATGAATGTGGAGGGCATTTTGCTGAGTGAAATAAGTCAATCACAAAAGGACAAATACTGCATGAGACCACTATTATAAAAACTCAAGATTTACACAGAAAAAAAGTTTTTGATGGTTACTGGGGAGGGGGAGTGGTGGGGAGGGAAAAACATTACCTAGACATAGATAGGTGGTAACTTTGGTGAAGGGTAAGGCAGTGCACAATACTGGGGAACTCAGCACAACTTGATTAAGGCAAAGTCATAGATGCTTCACAGACACATCCAAACACCCTGAGGGACTGAGTTACTGGGGCCGAGGGCTGGGGAACATGGTCGTGGGGGTCACCTAGGTCAGTGGCATTACAAAGTTCATGAAGAAAATATTCTACATCTAACTTTGTTGGGTGGCATCTGGGGTCTTATAAGCTTGTGAGCAGACATCTCAGATACATCTGCTGGTCCCCTCCTGTCTGGAGCAAAGGAGAATGAAGAAAACTAAAGACAAGGGAAAAACTAGTCTAAAGGACTAACGGACCACAAGTACCACAGCCTCCACCAACCTGAGCCCAGACCAACTAGATGGGGGGCCTGGCTGTTACAACTGGCCACCCTGACAGGGATCACAATACAGCATCATCCCAGACAATGTTGGAGAAAAATGTAGGACAAAATCCAGATTCTCTCTCACACACATACACACAAAAGACCAGACTTACTAGACTGTCAGACACCGGAGGAACCCCTGAGACTATGGCCCCTGCGCACCCTCTTAACTCAGGACTGAAGCCACCCCCAAAATTCACCCTTCAGCCAAAGATTGTTCTTGTTAGGTACCGTTGAGTCTGTTCCGACTCATACCGACACAAAACAAAACATTGCCTGATCAGGCACCATCCTCACAATCACTGCTATGTTTGAGCCCACTGTGTCAATCCATCTTGTTGAGCGTCTTCCTCTTTTTCACTGACCTTATACCTTACCAAGCCTGATGTCCTTCTCCAGGGACTGGTCCCTCCTGATAACATTTCCAAAGTATGTAACACAAATCCTCTTGCAATTCTTGCTTCCAAGGAGCACTCTGGCTGTACTTCTTCCAAGACAGATTTCTGAGTTCTTCTGGCAGTCCATGGTATAGTCAATATGCCTTGCCAACACCATAATTAAAAGGTGTCAATTCTTGTTTTCCTTATTCACTGTCCAGCTTTTGCATGCATATGAGGTGACTGAAAATATGATGGTTTGGGTCAGGCGCACCTTAGTCCTTAAAGTGACATCCTTGCTTTTCAACACTTTAAAGGGGTCTTTTGCAGCAGATTTGCCCTATGCAGTACATTGTTTGATTTGACTGCTGCTTCCATGGGCGTTGACTGTGGATTCAAGTAAAATGAAGTCTGTGACAACTTCAATATTTTGTTTATCAGATGTTGCTTATTGGTCCAGTTGTGAGGATTCCTGTTTTATGTTGAGGTGTAATCCATACTGATGGCTATACTCTTTAGTTAAGTGCTTCAAGTCCTCTTAGCTTTCAGCAAGCAGGGTTATGTCATCTGCATATCACAGGCTGTTAATGACTCTTCCTCCAATTCTGATGCTGCATTCTTCTTCATATAGTCCAGCTTCTTGTATTATCTGCTCAGCATACAGACTGAAAAAGTACAGTGAAAGGATACAACCCTAACGCACATCTTCCTTGATTTTAAACCACACAGAATGCCCATTTTCTGTTCAAATGACTGCCTCCTGGTCTATGTACAGGCTCCTCATGAGCACCACTAAGTGTTCTGAAATTCCGATTCTTCACAATGCTATCCATAATTTGTTATGATCCGCACAATCAAATGCCTTTGAATACTCAATAAAACACAAGTTAACATCTTTCTGGTATTCTCTTTTAGCCAAGATCCATCTGAGAACAGCAATGATATCCCACATTCAACATCCTCTTCTAAATTCAGCTTGAGTATCTGGTAGATCCCTATCAATGTACTGCTACAATGTGCTTTTGAATGATCATCAGCAAAATTCTACTTGTGTGTGATATTAATGATACTGCTTGATAATTTCGGCATCACCTTTCTTTGGTTTGGGCACAAACATGGATCTCTTCCAGTCGGTTGGCCAGATAACATCTTTCAAATTTCTTGGCATAGATGAGTGAGTACCTCCAATGCTGCATCCATTTGTTGAAACATCTCAATTGGTATTCCGCAAATTCCTAGAGCCTTGTTTCTCCCCAGTTCCTTTAATACAGCTTGGACTTCCTCCTTCAACACTGATTCTTGATCATATGCTACTTCATGAAATGGCTGAACATCCACCAATTGCTTCTGGTACACCGACTCTGTATTCCTTCCATCTCCTTTCGATACTTCCTGCGTTGTTCAATATTTTGCCCATACAATTCTTCAAAACTGCAATTCGAGGCTTGAACTTTTTCTTCAGTTTTTTCAGCCTGAGAAATCCTGAGCACGTTCTTCCCTTTTGGTTTTCTAGCTCCAGGTTTTTGCATATTTCACTGTAGTATTTTACTGTCTTCTCGAGTTGCCCTTTGAAATCCTCTGTTCAGCTCTTTTACTTCGTTATTTCTTCCATTCACTTTAGCTAGTCTACATTCAAGAGAAAGTTTCAGAGTCTCTTCTGACATCCACTTTGGTCTTCTTTCTTGTCTTTTTAATGACCTTTTGCTTTCTTCATGTATGATGTCATCCCACAACTCATCTGATCTTCGGTCAGTAGTGTTCAAGGACTCATACCTATTTTTGAGATGGTCTCAAAATTCAGGTGGGGTATACTCAAGATTGTATTTTGGCTCTTGTGGGGGTATTTTAATTTTCTTCAGCTTCAACTTGAACTTGCTATGAGTAAGTGATGGTCTGTTGTGCAGTTGGCCCCTGGCCTTGTTCTGACTGATATTGAGCTTTTCCATCGTCTCTTTCCATAGTAGTAGTCAATCTGATTCCTTGTTTTCCATCTAGTGAAATCCACGTGTACAGTCGCCGTTTATGTTGTTGAAAAACAGTATTTGCAATGAATGTCATTGGTCTTGCAAAATTCTATCATGCGATCTCCAGCATCCTTTGTATCACCAACACTATAATTTCCAACTACCAAGTCTTCTTGGTTTCCAACTTTTGCATTCCAATCACTAGTAATATTCAATG